GAACTTTTTAAGACAAAAAGAGTGTGTTAGCCACTTATTTGTTGAGAGTAAAAATGTCTTGCATGCAGATCTGAAGTCCGTTTCCGTGCCTCGGCCTCATGCAGTACAGTTGGTTGCCTCCTTTGGGGTGAAACCACAGCTATGTCAGCTCCAGCTAAAGACAACACATGGACCAAAACAGGATATTAAAAAAAAGTTCACAGCTCCCTAACAAGCCCAGTCCAGCCCTTGGTTGGTGTTTACTGCATGCACTTCTCTGTCAAGGAAACAGATTTAACTACACTGAGTAATTGTTCTGTAGAAAGTGGACGTGGCTGCTTCCTTCTTGGAACTCACAGACAAGTTTTGAAAAGCATTTTGTCTGCTGATATCATGATATAGTCTACATGTTTGCGAAAGATAACGTCAACACAGAGTTCTCTTACTGACACCATTGTGCAATACTCCAGATGGTATAATGTGCCAGCTCCACTGTCCACAAGTGCAAGGAATACTCTGTTTGGTCCCACTGGGATGGATGTGGTACATACTGTGGAACTGGTTACTTTCTGAAGGACTTCCAAGGTAAAGCTTACATATCATGGATGTTCAGAAATAATACTTAAGTTCATGTGCAAAATGAAAAATAAAACAGAAAAATATCATGGTTGAATGCATTTGTTCAATTTAACCGAAGAGCATTTGTTTCCACATTTAAACATACGTGGCACAGAAGGATTTACTACCTTTGCTATTTCTTGGCTTTAAGGTGCTGCCAGTTGTAGCTTGAAAAGTCAGGTTACATGAACAAACAGCTTTTACTACTGCAGTTGTATTCTCTGGACTAATTTAGCAAAATGACCTACAGCATATTTGTCTTCACACGCAGCTGGTAATAGCTGGTGTGCAAATCTGATGTGTATCAACATGGTCGCAACAAAACTGAACTGGAGTCTGTCGAGACAATTTAGTCAGTTTGTTCACACCGTGTTGCCCACAAGCTGTGGACCTCCAATATGGCTGCCAGAGGGTGTGTTACACCACCTGGAAGCTCTGTAAAAATGTTTGAAGTTGTCTTACTGCTCTAGGGTTTCACTAGCTGTTGTTCAGCCATGCGTGGCTACTTGAAGCAAATGACTGGAAGTGCACTTCACAGGGCTACATGTGAGCACCAACATATCAGCAACAGTCCTCTGAAAGGCCGCACTTCCTTCTCACAGAGCCCCTGCCCCGTTGCATAACACAAAATATCCCAAACACACGCAGTCTAACCTGAAGGAATGCAGGGCTGCATGTCAGACCATTTGGAGCCCATGTGAAACGCATCCTGTCCAATTGCCATTGGTTATCCTCACACAATCCTCTCATGAATGCTCATCTCTGTGTGAGTAGACTAACTGTTTATGTTGTCCTAATAAGTTATGCATGGAATTTTTTACCAGATTTTATAAGCAATAAAAAGGTTTGCTTTGGAAATGAAATGTCGGTATTAGGGTAAACACAGGAAACAAGGCTGTCATTTCATATTCAGAATTTTTTATTTCGAAATTTTGTTTTTAAAAGGAGGTAAAGAATTCATTAGCTGCGACCAGCAGCTCTGTGGCTCACTCTGTTAGTTGGTCGGCCCACAAAAATTTCCCCACCCTTTGGCAGCCACAGTTTTTGCCCTACAAAGCTGAAATTTGGAATAGAGGTCAGGTGTGTGTGTTTGTGTATGTGTGAAGGTGCCAATTGGTTGAAAAGGGAGGGTGGGGGGCGGGACTTGCATAGATTTTGTGGAGAGATTGATCGTGAGCCAAAGGGCAGTTGATTAATTGTCCTGGGAGGGCTTGCCTATAACAGGGATTCTTATACAGGGGTCCAAGGACCCCCCAGAGTCCCTTGAGCAGTTACAGAGGATCCCCAGAAAAACAAGGCATAGTTACCAGCCTTGACAACATTGCGATAGCTGCTGTTGTTTTCACATTGTGAATCTGTCAGTCTGTGCATGTGTGTCAACATGGCAAAATGCAGCGGGAACTACCACAGAAGCTGTTTTGAGTATTTTGCAGTCTGTCTGTCTGTATGTCTGTCTGCTGACAGATTTTGTCAACGCAATGATGTTGCAACTGAACAAGACAGAGTTACAAAACTGTACAGATGTGTAGTTGAGATCACAATGAAGGCCAAATTCAAAGATGGGGGAGGTCAGAGCAAGGGGGCTGGAAGTAGGGGATAAGAAGTAGGGAAAGAGCCATCGATACCCCCACTGTGTGTTCTGCACCTGTGTAAGAGAACATACCCCTCCATACCAGCAGATGGCAGTTGTCTGTAATTGTCATCCAAAAAGGGAAACCCTAAGACCATCTTGATGCTAGTTAGATAGTTAGCACACTAACAACACAATCCAGTGTTGAAAGAACAAAGCATATTTGCCATGTACCAGTGAGCAATAACAATCATGAAACGTTTCTTTTTTTTAATATATATATATATATTATTTTTTGGGCTTTTTGCCTTTAATGAACAGGACAGCAGGCATCACCTCTATACATGGGGCGCCGGCACACCATGCTACCGACGCCCCAATCATGAAACGTTTCTGCTAAAGATTTAAATGGCTTAGGAAAAACAATCTTCCCTCACATAAGTTTGTTTCAGCCTCACTCCCTCTTGACTTAAGCTCTTTGCTTACATTTTTCCCTTCTGTTTCCCTTCTCCTGTGCTGAGCTCATCTGCCAATCAGAGTGATTTCACTGGCAACAGGGTCCACCATCACCGACACCATTCAAGATGCTGAATGGTCAGACAAAAAAAGCTGACCAGCGCAGACGAGGGCCAATACTGCGGGACACACTGCACCAATGAGGGTGGCAGATGCTCACCAACGGCCCAACTTTCTTAGAACCAATGGCCAACTGTCGGCTTGGTGTGTCAGGGCCTTGAGATCACAATGACGGCCTTGTGCAGTGATGGGTGTGGCCTGAGCAAAGCCCATTGTGAGTAAGAGTTATAAGAGTGACTCTTCTGATCACTGGTTTCTGTTCCTCCATGGTTATCTCCTCAACTGTAACTAATTCTGGTTTTAATCATATCTAACCACCAAAATATTTTCAGATAGAGGTCCCTGAAGAGGAATCATATCAATTTAGCGGTCCCTAATGAACCACTGATCCGTGATTTAACAAAAAGGTGCATAACTTCTAAACAGTCATGTAACATGATTGACTACAAGACGCAAAAACACACACAAACAAAAACATACAAACAGGCCATTTTGCCACGTACCCTTTCAAAACTCATGAACTTTTTGTCATAGGGAGACATCGTTGGACTACTGACAAGTGTTTATGAGGCTGTTATGTGAATGAGCGCATGCATGCATGTGTGTATGTGGTCACAGTGAATGCAAATTCATTCTTGTTTTTAGCTTGGCTAGTTTTATTTTGACCTAAATTTTACATTATGATGTTGATGAGCTCAGTGCTCTTCAGTTCTTTCTTCCAACTCAGAGTCTGTAACACACACACACACACACACACACATACACATTCACAGCAGTCTGAATGTAATATAGGCAACCACACTCTTGTATAATGCCGCACATTCTTAATAGCAAACTGGGTGTATGATTATCTACACATTTAAACCAAACTGCGCACTAAAAGCAGCAGTATGGATGGTATAATCATGCATAACAAGACACATACACAGCTCCACTGAAAACAAGGAACCACACAAGAAGTATTTTGTGTGGCACGGAGGAATGCACTGGAACAAACATGATACATTCTCGTGGATGCCACCATGAAACCATGCAGCCTTCCCGGTACGCGGCCTGGTGTGCAGCCCAGGGGTAGGCCTCCTGGTAGGCTATATTTGGGGGCCATGCAGGGTTCAGGTGAAATACCAGAAACAGAAATTGGAGACAGGGTCAAAGCCACCAACCCTCCACCCCCACCCTCCCAAATTCAAGACATATGGTTCTGTGTAAATCAGCTGATAAGAGAATTACTGTTCCTTATGAGTTTTTATAAGTGAGAGCATGTTGTGCTTTTTGCCGGTGGATCCATGTACTTTTATATAACCTCTGTCAGTGTTCCTTGTAAGCCTAATACTGTGCAGGTAATAGAAAGTGATACAAATAAAACCGGCAAAGTCAACTTGAACCAAAACAATAACAGTTTACCTATAAAGCTGAACATCAGCAGGTGCGATATGATGTGTTTATGTGTGTGTGTGTTTGTGTGTGCTTGTGCCTTAATGCAAACCCCACCCCTCATATTGTTTGCAAAACATACACACGCACACACGGTCACACACAACACGCTGCCGTCTGGTCTCTCTTATTTCTCATTTAAACACACTCTGGTTTCTCTCATCTTTCATTTCCATTTTTTTGGGCCAGTGGTAGATCAAAGAGAAGATGGTTAAATGCTATGTTTGCTGTTTTCAGTTTATTTCTAAAGGTTTTTTTTTATGCAGCACCTATAGAGACGGCAGGTATGTAGAAATCCCAGCAGTGATTAACACACACCATTTCCTGTTTTCTAATATATCTGCTATGACTGTCAAATCTGTCAGCTGTGGTTGCACCTATTTGGATCAAGAGTAACTGCTCTTGGCCCTAATGTGTGGGGAGTGCCTACTGTTGTGAATACACTTCTGTCAATATGCAGACTGAATGAGTCACTGAACCTGCAGTGACCTTTTGTCTTGAATACACAAAACACCTGCTCAGAGGAGAATAACAAACATCAGGAGAAAATAGAGCAGCTATGAATGCTTTGTTTTATTTTTACCCCTAACAGTGTGTTTAATGTTAATCAAAAGCCCCCCTCCTACACACACTCCTCCCTGGACATCTCTGCACTGGCCCTGACTCACAGGTGTTTAGGGAAAAGAGAGATTGAGAAGGATAGATAGAAAGGTAGTTTTACCCTGATGAATCATCTTTGAGAGAATAGACGATCTTTGTCAGTGAAGGAGGGGACCGCCGTCTCCTAGCAACCAGCTGCAACAAACTACAAAGAGCCCGGCGCTAGCTTCGAGCTAACCAGCTATGCCTACAAGGAAAAGCAGCAACACTTTGTAATTTTCTTTTTTTTCAGCGGAAAAATGGTGAAACAGACGATACATATATTTGGTCGCATTAAACCCACTAAGAAAACTACGTCGGTAAGCAGACAGCTAAAACAACATTTAAACACACCTCAGTGGATAATGAATGATAACGTCAGAGAGTATGCTTATTTAAGCTAGCTAATGTTGGCGTTATATCAACGGGGCCTCTCCAAAAACATTGCCTGCTGGGTTACATTCTCACCACGCCAAGTATCACAGGTTACAACGACATTTTAACACAAAACAAGACTGACTAACATAATACTAACGTTACTCAAATTGTGTTGACATTTTCTACACGTACCATAACTTTCACAACGGACAGTTGGGCTTGTCATAGCAGGGATAGCACAGGTGTAACTAATGACATTAATGGGCTGATTATGGCACCCTTCTTTTAAGCGTCCCAATAAATCAATCACATCAAGAGGTTACAATACAGCACCCAGGCCCTGGAGCTGGCACACCTGAGTGGAATGCAATTATTATTTTTAATTATACAGATGCTCATCTTGCTATGACATGAAAAAATAAAATGGGGGCCAGTATCAGTTTTAAGGTGTGTGAGTTAAAGATGCCAACAGCTAGTATTTTGTGCTGATGTTCAGTGCCTTTACATGTGACTGTTTAGGAGGAGGATTATATATGTAGCAATGAGAAGTATGAAAGTAGTATGTAAAAATAGAAAAAATAAAAATATGTGCATTATGTTACAATGTTTAACATTTAAAAAATATATCTGAGGTATGCCAAGTATGGAAGATGTGTAAGATAATAAAATATGTGCCCTATGCTAGATTGCCAGGGTATGAAATTAACAAAATATTTTGGGGGCAATTTTGGCCCCCACAGTCTAAAAAATGGGGGCATTTTCAAAATGTTTGGGGGCCATCAAAAAATTGTAATTATGTTCTAACAATAAGCACATGAAAAGCAAAACCAACTAAGATAGTGTCTTCACCCTTCAGTAGAAACCACTATAAATGAAATAAATAATGGGTTACATAAAGTTATGGTTGCAAAATATCACTCAGATTTCCTATAATTCAACCAGTTTAAATGTGATGATTTAACCATTAATCTACTGATAGCAGTACTAATGTTTCACCACATTAGTTACTTTTACTGTTAAAAAGGCCAAATTACTATAAATTCCTTAGATGCAAACCTGGAAGTAAGTTAATTTAAAATTTAACATTCATTCTACCTTAATTTTTCATTAATTTGTCATTGTGTTGACACAGATCACCCAAGAAATGGTTAATTTAAACTTATGGTACAGCAAAGCCCCCTCCCCTTCTCTGTCAGATTACTCTCACGTAATCAGTGCAATCTCGTTGATCGTGTCTGGAAAATGAGTTGTAGACGTGACAGTAAATTAATTTAATGAAAATAAAATTATACTTTAATGTCAGATTGTAATACTGTTAAAAATATAAATACATATAGTTGTTTTGAAAACTTGGGGGCAATTTTGGCCCCTGGAACATGGCTTTTGGGGGCATTCTTGGATAAATTGCGGGCCAAATGGCCCGTGGCCCTTGCTAATTTCTGACACTGTACATTGCAGTGCAGAAAACTAGTATATGAAGTTTTAGAAATACTACAATGTGTGTATTATGCTACAGTATACAACACAATACAAAATAGAAAAAAGAATAAGACACATATATAAAATATGTGAACCATATTATTAAATATACATTTAAGAGTGGTGCTGGTAAGAATAAATTAGTATACTGGAGAATATTGCACAGTTGAATAACTGCATTGAGTATTGCTGTAGTTGAATTATTGCACCAATTATATCACAGTTAAGACAGTGTTACAAACAGTTATTGTACCTTTAAGTCATTTGGCACAGTTGAAATATATTAAGTAAAATTCAATTATTATTATTATAATTATAATTATTATTCAATTATATGATACCAAAGATATTATATGTTTTAATAAATAAAAAAATATAGCATGTATTCTATAAACTGTATCATATCATCAAGGTGACATATCAATAAAGTTTAAAAAAAAATCAATTCCCCAACTCCTGGTAGGTTACTTAGATTTTTATTTCTTTTTTTTGCAATGAAGTAATGTTGTGTTCACATGCTTCTAAGGGCCGTAATATACTTGCTGCTTGATCGAACGTACGCATACACAATGCGTACACAACGCACAACCACGGCGCGTTGTGTACGCAGCACTATGCAGCCAAAATGCACAATACTGGCGGTCACCACTTGGGACAGACAACAAAAATATAACCCGGAAATCGTGAAGAATCTCATGAGAAGAAGAAGGGTCTGGTCTGATCATCCGGTCGGGTCATTGTGCATTCACACCAGTGCCTCTAGCGGTTATACAAATATTGTATCTCGCGCGCACGTCGCTGTACCTCGTGTGGAGATGTGCATTCGACGCGTCAAACGAATGCAGATCACGTGTGGCAGCCATGATGCGGTCGCGTTGTTTGCAGCAAATATAATACATAATAATAATAAAATTGAATATGCAGGATGTGAATTATCAAATTTTCTTATCATCAACCACACATTTACTTTTGTCCTCCATGTCTCTGCCTAATATGACGTCAACTTGCAATTCGTGTACCCAAATTTTCACTGACTTTCAGAGTTGTTAAATTTTCCAATGAGGAACCCATTTTTCTGATTATTCTGACAGCACATGAATGCAGGTTATGCTACACACATGCGTACTAATGTTCAGCTCCTATCAGATGGGCCTTCTTTATTGGATGCACATGTACAAAAACAAAAGTCAATTTCCATGAGAAACACCCCTGGCAGCACTTTACTCTCCCTAAAACCCTATTTATTGTGTGAGCACAACAGCTGATGGAAGAGATGATCAGATTACTTTGAGGGTTTCTGTGGCACTTTAGCTTGAGCTGACAATATCCAGCAAAATGAAATGAGCACAGCTACCTCCTTGGGGCTTTTTGAGCGTCTGCACATGTCCACGTGAAGACAGCAAAACAGTGGCGGTCAGGAGGCGATGCTGCAGGCAGAGCGACAGTGAAAAACAATCCAATCATTTAGGTCTTATCTTTTATTCCTGAAACCCCGGAGACTTGTAATTGCATCGTCGTGTCCATTGGAAACATATGCCAGAACATATGTTGAAGCTGAAAACCCGAGGGTGGGGGTGTTTAGATTGACCCAGCCAGCCTCAATTTAAATGTCTTCTTCTGCTAGAGCTCAATCTATATTGGTTTAATGTTCCACAGTTTTTCTTTTCTCCCCTGGGGTGAAATTGCAGAACTTGCCTACACTGTACACTGATCATGATTGCTTGTTCAGTTCTGTTGCTTTCCACAAAATAAATGCTTCATAAACTCCATCTTTTTATTTCAGGGCTCGCATTTACCCAACCACAAGTGGACAAACTTATATTTTAAACCTCACATAATGAATTGTCTTTGTATTTAAATTGGGCTGTATGTATGGCACCACATACCATAACATTATACAAGTAATAGAAACATAGCAGACTGATCTTTCAAAACAGTAGACGAATGCCTTTGTAGCTTCTTTTAAATACTCTCAAGATTTTCTCTTGTGGTAAATTTCCAAGCCCACAAGTCCATTGCCCTGTGATAAAAACAGTAGTGTGTAAGCCTTGTGCCACTGTAGGACTGACTCTACTGTTGTCTCTGGCTCCCTCAGGTGTACTCTGTGGACAATGAAGATCAGACAGGTGCTTCATTGGAGTTTGTGGTGCCCAGGGATTTGGCTGATGGTTTTGTTAACAACAAGAGGGAGTGCTACAAGTTCAGGTAGTTATATCTTTGTCTTTTCCATCTGCTTAGTTTAATTCCTCAGTCAGCCAACTAATTTGCCGTACAGACCAGTTCAGACCAAAGATTTGTGACAAGACGAAACTGTTGCAGAGAAAAGTTGCAGAGGTGTGTGAATTGCCTGGTCTGAGCTTGACTCAAGCTGGCTGATGGTGTCACCTGCAGCTCATCTGGTCAAATCGCCGGCAGCTGGTTTTAGAACGCAAATCAAGTCATCGGTTTCAACAGCCAATCGACTTGTAGTGGAGTCCACTGGTCAAGTCAATATGGTCAAAATGACCACAGGCGGCTTGTTCGCTTGCTGCGACAGGTGCTTTGTCTTGCCAAGCCCTCTATTTCTGTCCTCATGGTGTGAGGTCCCATTGACTGATTATTTGGCGCTGGTTATTTATGTATTTTCATTTCATCTCTACAAATTCAGCTGAAGCCAGTATCTCACTATCACTATCCTCATTTATATATTTTAAGAAGCTAGAAATTATATTGAGCCACAAAGTAAGTCTGAAAAACTGGAAATCAGAACAGAAGTACAAAGAGTTGTTGCCTAGTGATGATACACCGTCTCATCTTGTCACATTGGTGTGAACCAGCAGGTTTTTAGAACGTTTCAGAACAGCACGTTGCAAGTAGTTGCCTATTTCAACTCATCTCATCACACATCTTTGGTCTGAACCTGGCTTTACAAAACTGGTGGAGTCTTTGAATTCCACCATAATAATTTATACCCTTTTTATATCTACTAATGGTTATACGAAACTCTATCATTGACACTGTAGAGTAGTTTGAACTTGTAGGCAGTGAAAGCTTTATATTTGTTGCTCTAAATACCTTAGACTCTCTTTCCTGTGACCAGTCTCTGATCTGTTTTGTCCTGTATGTTAAAGCAACAGCAGTTTTGTTTATAGAAATAGAAATTAGATTAATAAGAAGTATCAGAACAATTAGTTACGGTCTTACGTGAGTGCAGAACATCAAAACAAGGACCATCTGTTTTATATATATATCTAAAACTGGGAAAAGCAAGAATATTGTAGATGACCACTTTAACTGTTGATTTTAATTATGGTCACAGGGACAGAACACCCCAAAATACATAATTTTCCTACCACCCATAGTGCTGTTTATCAGTCGTTTGTTGAGTTGGTATGTGTTGCCAAGTGTTTAAGATACCGGCTGTAAAGATGTCTGCCTTAGCCTTAGCTTGTGGTGTTTAAGGTGCCAAAAAATGCATTTGAATAACTCAACAGCAATGTCTCTTTCCAAAAATCATGACACGGTTACACGGGATAATCCACAGAACCTTGTTGTGAGCAGTTTCATGTAGGAACTATTTTTTTTTTTTATTGAACTACACCTGCTAACCGTATCACCACATATAAATAAGTGTGTATCTTCTGCTAGCTCACTTAGCACCACTGAGCTAGCTAAAGGTACAGCTCAGCTGAGGAGCACGCCATTAATGTTTACATCTCGTGCTGTCACATGCACAAGCCTCTCGTCCATGAGTAGATGCACACTCCCTTCTGCGAGGTGATATGGTTGGATATGATATGGTTTGATTTTCATGCAGTTCTTTTAAATAACAAAACGCTGAAGCATAATATTTATGACCTATGATATGGTAGCCTGATAATCATTAAATATGCTCTGTGTGGGAAGCTCTCTCAGTAATAATAGGCGCAGTAAACCGCTGCAGCTTCCACACTCACTGCTCCTCCTGGTGGATAGACAGACCATTGCAACTGGTTTCTACAAATTAAACTTAGAGGCGTTACCAGTCGGCCCATATGTTCGACGTCATCGGTGACGACAGGGACCTGTCATGGATCGGTCAGGGCTCTACCATGAGCCAAACGGAAATTTGAAGTGGCTGCATCTGTAGTTCCATTTTATTCAAGAAAAGGCAGACATCTCTACGCCCAATATCTCAAACACTTGGCAATTAATACTAGAATGATCTAAACTAATAAATAATACTACAGGTGAGAGGAAAAATATGTAATTTTGATTTTGGGATGAACTGTCCCTTAAAGCTCATTTGAAATCAAGAGCTGAATCAATCATCTTACGTGTTCTTGCTTTTCCCAGTTTTACCAAACATAACAGGTGGTCATTGTTTTGATGTTCTACATTCACTTAAGCCTGTAGCTATTACACTTGCTTAGTTATGTTTAAGAGTGACTAGTGTTCAGAGTGAATAGAGATAACATACAGTGTAGAGGAAGGTGTGTTGCCCACCAGAATTTACACTCTCCAGGTTACATAAGAACTTTTCCCGTGAATAATTCATTCACCAGTTCTGTCAGTGCAGAGCCAGAACATCTGTTTAACGCTGGTGGTGAAAGCTGCAGCCTTATATACCCTCTGGGCAGGGCCCATGCCACGCTTCCAAGCCCTAAATTCACAGTTGGGGAGTCAGACAGCAGTGGACACTGAGAGCCCTCGAAAACCACAGAGTCTTTTAATAGCCTGTGGAGGTTCCCTTGTGCCCTTATAGAAATAAAATTTCCACATTTAACAATCTTCCTGGGCGGATTCCTCTCACATCACTCTCATCTTTCTGTGGGATAAAACATGATGGGCTGAGACTGCTTTAGAAAACAGAATGACTAAACTCCTCCTCATCCACTGGGGAAATTAAATAGACTGCTTTTTGTGCTTATTCACTCCTGCTGTGGGTAATTGTGTTGAGCCCTGAATGTTTGAGATAAAGCAGTGACATCCATTTTTACTGTTTGTTTTGGTGTCTTTGTTCTTCTCACTTTGATCCAGGTTCCTAAAGGTGTTTGATCAATCTGCCAGACAAGAAGAGATATTTGAAAACATAGCCAAACCAGTTGCAGACAGGTAAAATCTATCAGTTTTGAAAGTTGATGTCATGCATTTAAACTCCTTGTCAACCCTTAAAATTGCAACCTTTGATTATCCCGTTCACGAATGATCACTGCTCACCTGTCCCCAGCGATGCTCATCTCTCCACGTTGTAGGTCGGGCCACACAGGCTTCAGCCATCCTTGTTGACAGGAAGTCAGTAAAGCTCAGCTTTCTTTAAGATGGAAATGGAGGGTGTCTGTGAGTTTTGGCATGCTTTGCATACTTAAACCACTAAGTGGACTGAACTGGCAGGCAAGATGGCAAACTGTGCCATCGTGAGTGTGAGAACATTTTCAAGCCACAACACAGAGATATACTGTAGCTGCCTACTCATTTTGAGCTGTTCTTTAATTAGTCATGCATGAGGACCACATTCATTAGAGTAACCTGCTGAAAAATCGGGTCCTCAAGATCAACAACACAAGTCATTTGTCAGTGCTATTTAATTTAATGGATGGATTCACTTGGGCCTGTTTAAAATGTACAATGTTTGATGTATTTTGAATATTGATATGCCAAATATATCTGGAAAATTTGTTCAGCATAAGCATGTGTTGTCATTCATTGCCAATAGACTAGACCACAATTTTTAACCAATTTTTAGCCATTTTTTGATCAATAAAGTCAATAATTAATGAATAGTTGATCACTGAGTATGATGATCGAACAAAGCAGATTTCTTTTTATATTTTGGTTTGGCAACAGTGTGACCACCAGGAGTTTACTGTGAAGGTTTTAAAGGTCCTGTGACATTCTATACCTTTGATCCTCTTAGTTTTGGTTTCACATTGTAATTATGCAAGCACACTAAAGATTTATACCTGACATACCTATGCCCTGTCATTGTCGCCTATGCAAGCTGCAATCTCCCTATACTTGACACTGATAGGTCTGTAGACAGACTCTCCTTTCCTTTTACATCCGCTCTATCTCATCATCTGAGGAAATGATTGAACAGTGGCAGAGTTTTTCCAACCGACATCATTTTATGTAGCACTGTTTATGGACAAACTGAAACCTACACTGTACATTCACTAGCACTTGAAATCTACTGCTAGTTTCTCCTCTGCTCCGATCGCCAACACCTGTTTGCTCTGACCATCAATAAAACCACACACTACACACTGAGGTACTACACTACCCTTATCACTTAACGATAGCTGGCCAAAACTTCTGTATTGGTCTGAAAGTCTGATTCATCCAAAAACCAGGAATGAACCAAACTATGCTTCAGTTTGATCTGGACTGAGGCAACTTCTTTTTGTCAAACCAAGCTTTGGCTGTTTGGTTCAGACTGTGGTCTGGGGGAGATTTCACACCTGTAATTTTGGTTCTGATCAAACTGAAAAGTCCAAAAGTCCGACCAAATGAGGTAGGTGTGAAAAGTGCCCTGATGTAAGAAAAACAACTCCACTGGTGGAAGTTGAACCTAAAGGTTTACAGTTGGATATCAGCAAATATTTCAAGGTCATGCATCTCTACCAGATTTTTCTAGATGAATCTCATCTGGTTTTAATTTTGTTTTAATTCGTAGTAACTATAGATCCAACATGTTCATAATATAAGCACAACACCTCTCGTTTTGCATTTACATTTGTTTTCAATCTTCCAGGTAGCACAACAGCGAATTTTGTTTTGGTTCTTTACCTCTAAGATACCTCTACACACACATTTTCCCTCCATTCCAACAAAGGGGAACTCTTACAGTGTCTGTGAGAGCTTTAGCCTTGCCTTGACTTCATGTTAAATTAGACTGACTTCCAAAAGAGACAGCGGCCAAGAGGAGAGGGAATTCACTTGGAATTTCCTGTGATCAAATGTTGGTTGTGTTGTTGTTATGTGAGCGAGGTTCTTCCTCCCCTTCTCCAAACTCTGTCCTCCTGCCTCGATTTAGCCCTACCACCCCAGGATTCTGAGTCACAATAGGGGCTATTTTAGGAATCCAGCAAGTGCTTTGCATTATCTTTGCTATTAGAAGACATATAAACAACAGGGTGAGACGTCTGGATTGTCTGACTAAGGACTTGTGATGTTTTTGACCTGACTCACACAGGTTCACCGACTTGGGTATTAGGTTGTCCTCCCCAGCCAACCTTTTAACAGTTCCCCCTTTGTTGTGGCAGATGGCAAACATCAGATTAAAAAGTTTCAGTCACAACCAGGTCTTACCATATCATTTTGTGCCTTTTAGTCTTTGGTTTAACTATAACGTCTGCAGCCTAGGGGACACTAGTCATCCTGTCTGGCCATGACCATTCTGTCTCTCCAATCAGACATTTCTAAGTCCACTGTCAGTTCCTTGCCACCTCTGCAGGATGCCTGTTAACACACTGAATGTTCTGAATTCCACAAAGTTTGAGCCCTTCAAATCCAGTCTCACCACACTGAGTAAAAGACATGGGGGTATGCAGGAAATAATTCTGCCTGTTCAACCCCCATTTCCTACTGAAATATGTTGCCTTCAGACACAATCACAGGAATAGGCTGAGACCTAGGCCTCATATCCTTGCTACAAAAAATATTACACGATACTGAAAGGCACTTTATCTGGGACCAATGTAGACTAAGCTTTGGGTGCTGATAACTATGAAGCTTATGTTGATGTTGACGTGGTCCCAGTTTCAGAAGCAAGTCTGGTCACAGTAATCACAAACAGAATCAAATTTGGACTGACAGACTGTTTTTCCTAAAGCCCCTGTAGTCAGGAAACATTTATTCAGGTTTAGTCGGGAGTCACTTTGAATCGCAGCAGTTTCGCTGTCACCGCACTTAAACTCAGTTTCATGCACGCAGGCGCCTATCCTCTCAGCTAGCAATAACTGTCAGGTTGATGTTTTGGTTGGTACTCTGTCATACTTGGCGCACATCACGTTCAGCCAAAAGCTCTAACTCGTTTACTTGCACACTAGTCTCTGTCTCTACTGTGGTGTAACCGAAACCAGTCATTTCAACCCCAACACAGTAGTTTAAAAACAAACCAGCATTAATAGCTCCAGGAGAGGAAGAGCCAACGTAATGATGTTGGGCTGGCAAGGAAAACCCTCTATCTGCGCTGTAATCCCATTTCACAAGGCTGTGAAACCTGTAGCCCGAGTTCAAAGAGGAACAGGGGTCTGTTCAGTTTTATACTTAAACCTATTACATCAAAAGATTGGACCTACTGTACTGCTGCCTAGAAAAAGAACAGAAAGAGCAAGGATCTTCTGGATGATGACTTGCCAATCTCCAGGAAAGCTGAGGTGTAAACAGGAACAAGCATTGGGAAACGCCCAAGCCTCAGCGGCGTGGCTGAGGCCGCATCATTAGCACTGACATTAAACTAAACACAGAGCCTGTGTCTTTTCTCTCCTCTGCCAATCGTCTGCCATGACTCACGCCAGATTAAATGGATGCCCAATGGCCGTCCAGCAGACTAACCAACTACCATTCTCATGAGTGGACGCAGTGTTTTATATAAACTGACATGCAGTTTTTTCCCTTACCCTTCTTATGCAGGGCGTGGAATTATACAGCACACAAGAAGGGAAACCCACACACTGCTCTAATACTGGGTTGGCAATTCCATTAGAATAAGTGAGAGGCTTAACTTTGTTTATAATTCATCTTGATAAATATAGTGTCACAGTATCCCTTTTTCTTGCAATTGGCAAGTCAGAGAGCATATAGTTTATCCTTACCTTTGATCCAAGCTTATGTATCAGAGGTCCCTCTGTCATTTTACTATTTCTTGCTGGTTTATTTCCAAGGCTACAGAACAGACATTTTTTGACAATTTATTTTACCTCATGAATAGCACCTCTTTGGATGTTCATTTCATTCAAATAGAACCAGATACTGTTGGTTTCCATGGCCCTGTGCACGTGCAGAAGGGCAGTTTGATGCCAAACCAAAATTTACCAGGCCCTGCCTAGTTGAATGGGTTTTGGGCCTTTTCCTTCACTCATAACTGCGAGACATTCCTCCCTCACCGGCAGATGTCTGTCGCCATAGCAGTTCTCCAGTCACTGCCATCTTTTCCTGTGGATTTAAAGTGTCAGATTCAATTCAGTCAGACTTTTGGTGTCTGCTTAGGGATATACTTGACAGTCCCTTGCACCCTTTCAAATTTAAAATAGTGGTGAAGGAGGCACACTGCTAATTATTTACTGACAAACAGATGAATTCTGATTTTTGTAGGTCATAGCATGTTCACGTCAGAGAAACTGTATTTTTAAGGACAAAATAGCTTTACTTTCCACTGTTAACGCTCAGTTAAGGTCTGTTTTGTTGTTTGGCTGCATATAATTAGCCCTCTAGATCACAGCAGTAAGCAAACACTGTTTAATTGCTATCATTTGTTCTTATGTTCACATAAACTTACAGTAGCATAGTTGTCCATAACCCTAGTGCCCTTACAAGAGTATCTACTCTACTGTAAAATGTGCTTGTCCTGCCACTTAAAGTGAATTTGCCAGTGTGAACACACTGGATGTGAAAGGAGCGCCTTGGTATCTGAATAAGCACAATATCGTCGGTTCAGTTCCAGACAAAAAAACCTTTGTTGCATTTCACACCCCTCCTGCACCCCCCATTTCCTGTCCACTTCTTCTCTATCGTCTATCCAATAAAGGCCCAGAAAATAATCTTTAAAAAGATGGATGTGGAGGAAATGAAATTTTGTATTAAATCTTCTTATCTACTTGATGTACAAAATGGAAAATAAGTACCACATGCTGTCTATTGTTGGTGTCCTTGGTATTACCATAGACTTTTTGTTTGTGATTTTTAAATTGTCAGCTGGGTAGCTATGTTCATGTATTTATCCTGGGGCTGGGTGATTTGGAGAATTTCAAATATCGCAATATATTTGACAAAATAGCTTGATATAGGTATTATGCTGACATTGTAGGGTTGACTATTGGTGCTTTCATGAGATATTTAGAAAATGAAATTTTTGTCATCAGTAACGTGGCAAAATGACATCACTTTACTGTAATGCAGCCTTTAAAACCAGGAAAAGACTAAGACAATGTCTGGTCTCATGTCATATGATATTGATGTAATATCAATATAATGCCCTAATTTGTCCATTCTAATAATTTGTTTTGTCATAATGTTTGTTGCATTCGTGGAAGTGCAACTTAAGTTAGTGTCCACAAAAGGAGCACAGTAATAGTAATTTGAAAAAAACCTGCAACTCATCACAAAACAACTGCTGGAATAAGCTTGACACCCAATTACATATTTATAGTGTGAGGCTCCTAATTGATAAGATTACATTAGATACTGTGCTGTTACTAAAGGTCAAGCACTGATCTCAGGCGTGTGCTTCTACCTTGAAAGCTTTTGTGAATAATGACCTTTGTATTTGTTGTGTGTGTGTGTGCGCAGTGTGTTGGCTGGCTATAATGGCACCATATTCGCCTATGGCCAGACAGGCAGCGGAAAGACCTTCACCATCACAGGAGGGGCCGAGCGCTACAGTGATCGTGGCATCATTCCCCGCACGCTTTCCTACCTGTACGAACGCTTCTCCCAGGTCAGCACAGCAGGGTTTGCCATGTTTTTTAAACATTTATTTAAGGTATCAGTTTCACTGGTACATGAAGGCCACACACACTGAAAATGTAAAATAGTATCCTACAGCCTCTCTCTACCATCATTAATTTCCCTGTACTGCAAAGCATCTAAATTTAATTGTTTGCTTTTGCCAATTGTCAGAAAGACTAAGATTTCCATCTTTATGCATCCAGTTTAATTTTACATACTATATGTTATGCTCCACAGGACAGCAGTATGGTTTACACCACACACATCTCCTACTTGGAGATATACAACGAGATGGGATACGACCTTCTGGACTCCCGCCATGAAGCATCTCGACTGGAGGATCTACCGTCAGTGTTCTTTTTGTTTTTTTAAGTTGTGCTACACTGATGCTATAGATATTTGAAAATGCAAAATTACAATCATATAGTGTATATTTAGCTTTGAGAACATGCACTTCTAGGGAATAGATGAAAAAATTTTAAAGCTGAAAAGACCAATCATCTCCTGGTTCCATTATTCTCTTAAACACTTGTGGGTTTAGTCAAGCCTTATTCCTGAACAGCCATTTGTCTGCCTGGCCTAGAGTTGGTGTGTGGTGAAATATGGAGACTCAAGTATTTACCACCTCACTGCGAACTGCCAACTGACATAATGAGACTGCAGGACAGCAATGGATGTGGTCAACCTGGCTGTAGACTCTGCCACTGGAGTTGAGAGCAAGAGGGTCATGTGGACAAACTGTTTTTCAGAGCTAGTCACTGCTGCAGCTGGTCTGGGAGGAATTCTTTTTTGTGTCCATCTGCATCTGTCTTCTCACTCTCTGTCTGTTGCTTCCCTCTCTGCCCTGCTCTATCTTTGAAAGACTGTTCACCATGTTCAATCCTGTTTCATTTTTTCTTTGTCTATATCCATCTTTCTTTGTAATTATAAATTCCATCTGTCTGAAAGTTTGTCTGTGTGTGATCTTATTTTTCTTTTTTTTTTACCTTTTTTGTCATACTCAATACTTACTCATCCCAAACTAGACTCTGGACTTCCTGGCGCAACATCGTCTTGGTACATCATTTTGGTGTTTGTCTTGTATTTTCTTGTACTAGTTCGATTGAAGTTTCTTCCCTCCTTTCACAGAGGATCCAGCTCAAGGTTTAGATACCCACAAATCACAGTCTTCTGGAAATAGACAGTGCCCGTTGTTAACCATGCTGTGGCCACACTTGCTGATTCAAGAAGAAGCTGTGGCACTAACAAATTTCTCTCTTTAACTGTTGGCCTTTCTTTTCTTTCTGACATTCTTGTACTTATTTTCTTCTGCATTATTTTCATCATGCTTTCAACAGTCCACCTTCTAAATGCTTGAAGTCCTTCTCCACTCAAATATGTATTTTTCTTATGTTTATGTTCCCTAAAATGTCTGACCTTAACTGACTTGTGTCTGTGCTAAGTTTGTCACTAGAGAGGTGTTTTACATTCCTGTACTGAGGGGCCACTTTCTAAAATCTGAGATTCACACATACATTTTCTACAACCATTAATGCTGCGTCAGCAAGCGAACAAACAGCAAAAATAAACTCAAATTACGGCCTCGCACTTGTATGCCTCTTTGAACCTGTGAAGTTGCAGTTACAGTCTATATCCATGTCAGTGAAAACATGGATGCGTCATGCACATCTTCCCCCTGGCAGCACAGAAGATCTATACAGTCAGCAGTTTCAAAGTGGGCACCCACGACTAGTGTCACCAATTCAGTATGTGACCAAGTGTCTCCACTTCTGTTTCTGAGTTATGATGAGTAATGGTCAGAAAAGTGTTTTCGCAAAAAAATTTGATGTCACAGTGAAACTGGCCTTTGACCTTTCAGATATAATATGTCACCACTTCATCATTTTATCCTATTAGACATTTGTGTGAAATTTTGTCTTTATTAGTATTCCATTGAATTCTAGTTATGGTCCAAAACCTGTTTTGTTAGGGTACAGTGATCTTGACCTTTGACCTTTAGCCATAAAATTCTTATAAGTACTAATACTAGGTCTAATTAGTAATAATTAGTACTTTCCTGAATTCAAGTGGATGTTTGTGCCAAATTTGAGAAAATTCCCTCAAGGCCTTCTTGAGATATTGTCTTCATGAAATAAGACAGAAGCAAGGTCACAGTGACCTCAACCTTTGACCACCAAATTCTAATAAGTTTGTGCCAATTTTGAAGAAATGTCTTGAAGGTGTTCTTGAGATATCGCCTAAACAAGAATGAGACGGATGCAAGGTCACGGTGGCGTTGACCTTTGACGTTTGTCTACCAAAACCTAATCGATCATTCTTGAGTCCAAGTGGATTTTTGTGCCAAATTTTAAAAAAAATCTCTTTCAAGTCATTCTTGAGATATTGCATTCACAAGAATAAGATGGATGGGCAGATAGACAGACAACTTGGAAACATAATGCCTCAAGCCACAGCTATCGCCAGCGGAGAAGCATTAAGATGCCAACCACACTTACCATTCTGATACGTCTGCTGTTGGTGCACAACAGACTCCTCTTCTGAGCCTGAGTCTGACTGAGGCACAGATGTGTATGGCTTAATCTCTCAGATGTATCCTGTAACGCAGATGCTAGCCATCTTGATGCGCACTGCTCTTTCACCAGTTAACCTAGCATGAGCAGCACTGGAGAAAGTGAAACTTACTGCAAGCAGATTTCTCAGTAAGAGAGAACGATAAGATCTGCTTCAAGGTCTTTTATTTTTTTAACTATTATGTGGGAAAACCATGTTAAACAAAATATAGGTATTAGTATATTTTTTAGGGACTTTAAAAGTCTCTAAATTGTCAACAACTATATCCTATTTTTATATTTGTGTAAAATACAATAATCAAATCCTTTTGATTTTGAGTTGGTGAGGCTGTTAAGGAAAATAACCCCGCCAGGGTACAGGCCTTTAATCACAGTAAGATGAATACTGTTTTATCAAACTACTTCAATTACCTACACATGTTAACATAATTATCCTCATGTGTTCTCCAGGCAGTCTCCCCTCTTTGACATCTCAATCCAGTAGCTATACTGTCACAACCCTGGCGGAGTGATGGAAATGATACGTTAAGATCACTAGAGTCATTTCAGCCCCATCTGTCTAAGCACACTTTGTTTCAAAGTGCTTGATGTGGGCAAGAACCAATCACCTGTTTGTTTTTAAAAGCAAGCCCTGTCTGTTATCAAGTTATGAACCCCCCGGTTAGATAAAGCACGTGTCAGACTGGGTCGCAGCCCACACTGACTTGCAGATGTGGTTTGTTTGGATTTCGATCTGAGTGAGGCCAAGGCGATGGGAGGGAAATGGATGACATAACTGACATAATTAGTTTTTCATATTTGCTTCAGTGTTGGATTATTTGGGTTCCAAATGGTTTTGTCCCGCTTTGTCATTTTTTATTCACTATTTCAGGTTATTTATTATGCTGGAATTTTCTTTAATGACGTTTTTTTTCTTTTACAGAAGAGTAATGATCATGGAAGATCCAGACCAGAACATCCATCTCAGGAACCTGTCCATGCAACAGTCAGCAAACGAGGAGGAGGCTCTGAATCTGCTCTTCCTGGGTGACACCAATCGTATGATTGCAGAGGTAAGAAAGAGGGACACGCATGCTTCACCGCAAAGAGAAATGTACGATATGACTTCATCTTTGTAATTTACACACCATACATGCAGTGTTCTTTGTAAGAATTGTAGTCAGTAAGCAAAAATACATGACCACTCCCTCGATAAGTGGCATAAATGGTATTTTTTGTTCACAAATGCAATATGCACTCTACCTTAAGACCCTTCTAAAATATTATTTTGGTCCCCTGTGGTCCCTTTTACCATGTTTTTTTCCCAGTAAAACTAAGCATTCTCTCTGTAATTTCTGTTTATGTTGTGGTGGTTCTTTTCTACACTCAGACACCCAGACTCCCCACACGGTGGGTCAGCTTTTGCTTTGCAACCTGAGGTTTAGAGCAAAGGGCTGATCTCACCTTGTTTACTCTTGTTGCTAGTTTGTAAGTAAATAACTGTCAGTAAAAGTGAACTTGATAATCAGGTTTCAGTCAGAGACTTGCTTTTCATTTTTGCAGAGAATTTCAAAGTCAGTTTTTGATGTGGCCAGGTGTCGTTCATGAAACAAAACCGATCCAAAGGAAATAGTTATGGGATCCAAGATGGAATTTCTCCGGAACTCGGAACTGGGTTTAGTAGCTAGTACAGTCACATACCTTTTGTATGAGAAAATGTGCCTACAATACACATATTCCAGTGAACATACACTCTTAGAAATAAGGGTTCCAAAAGGGTTCTTCCTGAGCGGCTGAGGTTCCTCCCAGAACCATTTGCTTCTGAAGATGGTGTTAAAAGATCCTCACCCTCAAATATTTAAATGTTTACCCATGTGTCAGTTGATTCAGTTCATTTTATTTGTGTTTTGCCATGGTTGATATCCTTACCATTATTTCATGCCATACAAAAGTTAATTGCGAATCTGTATTGAACAGACTCTATGTTTATTGTTTAACAGGCGGAGATACTGTCCACTCTGCCAATATTCATCCTGGTAGCGTTGAGTTTCACTCCACCACTGAAATAGTAAAGGCTCGAGTGGTAGTTGTTTCTCCACCTCCTAAAAACATAATTGTAAACCATGAGTGTTGTGATTTGACCTGGGCCAAATCCACCCCTGTCCTTTAGGAGCCTAATGAATCCCAAGGCTGCTGAATTTGATTTTCTTGGCCCCAGGTTGAACTGTTAAACTAAAACCATGATTAGTGGAACAAAAAAAGGATTCTTGGTAGAAACCCCTTGGTGGTTCCTAGATTTACTCTTGTAATATCAAAAAGGTTTCATGGTAGAACCTCCTCAGTAGGTTCTAGGTGAAATCCTTTTGATATAGAGAGGGTTTTTGCTGAGGGCAATGGTAACTGTCTCAGAAAGTATTGTGGTTTCACAGTGGTATTACAGAATGTATATTATTATCAGTCAGAATGATGCTAAAAGGATTGAAAACATAAGGGTTATTTTTGGTTGAACAAATGTTTTATTGCTATGATTGAAACTTGAAACAATTTTGTTAATGGAAGTATGTGTAAAAAGTCTCCCCTTTGAAAGTAACTAAAATAAAGGAGAGATTCTCCATCCAGTTGCATTTTTTCCCAGTATTGTAGATAAGCAAATGTACACAGTATGATAACTGTCAACTTTTATATCAACAAAGCTATTCTCAGTAGACCATCCTGGAAGGGTTCTCAGAAGCTGTGAAGGTTCTGGAAAGAACACCCCCCCCCACACACACACACACACTCCAGAGAGGGTTCTGGGTGGAGCCATTATACCACAAAAGGATCCTTTGTGGAACCTCTCACAGGGGGTTGAACCTTTTACAGATGGTTCTAGGTATAACTCTTTATGTTGGGTCCTAGGCAGAACCCTCCTACGGTGTTCCAGGTGAGAACTACCGGGAACTAAAAAGGGTTCTTCTTTCAGGACAGAACCCTATATGGTTCTAGTTGGCGCTTTTATATCTAAGAGTGAAGCCTATTGCCAAAACAATATTGCATTTGTTTTTTATCTACCTTGAGAACACACTCCCAGTGTCCATTGCTGTAAAACCTGGGGGTATATTTCAGTGGAAACACATTCTTGGATGTTACATTAGTGTGTTGATGAGGCAATCGAGATGTTTCACAGTTCAGAGGGGAGACCACATTACAGTCCACCCACACAAAGACTTTTGTGAACTCACCCTCTATGGGACTTCCCCATAAGAAAGTTTCTCTTGAACCCCGAGCAAACAAAGAACCATCAACATAGTCAATTTGTCACTGCCAGAATAATCCCAGAGGTCCTTGCTCCACATAGACTTCAAATAAAGTTAACACTAACGCTTTCTTTCTTCTCTTGCTCGGAGCCATGTGGATAAAAGATGACACATCCATTCAAGCCACACTCAGCAGACCATGAGCTCACTTACTTTGAGACTTGGCAATCCCCTCTACTCTTTCATTGGACAGGAAATAAAATACACCTTCTCAACTCCTCACCCTTTCTTCAACCTCACCGGGAAACATTTCCTCTCATCTGGTCTTTTTATTTTTTCTTTGTCCCTGTTTCCCTTCCCTTCACATGTGGGGATGCAGGGCCTGGATCTTTTCTCCCCTTTCTACATCCTCCTGAACTTGTGGGGGTGAGTAGGGTGCGTAGCAGGTGGTCCAAATGAAACTTCACTTTTAATCTTTTGAATCAGCAATCTCTAAGTGTTTCAGGGCTTGCAGCACCAGATCACCACTTTATGCTGACCCACTGCAGCACTGCGTGTGGTCAGCATGTGGTGCATGTAAGATCAACATGTGGTCAATTGAGAACACAGGAGAATAAAGGAAGTGACTCCAATGAGATTGCATTGTCCTGCTGTGTTTTCTCACAACTAAGACATTTTAATGCCCCTGTGTGGACACTATTTCCTCTGTGGACATGAACGCACAGTCTGTAACCATTTAAATATTCATCTGTACTTGATGTGCTTCTGTTCATACTCTTTAACTCTAAGAGTTGTTCAAGGACTTCTACAGAAACGTTTATATAACATCTGGTGATATCCAAATGAAGTTGTTATCTTGCACAATGCACGCACGTTGAAGGCTACACAAACAGTCTCTTGATTAATGCCACTGTAAGGACACAGTAACAACCAGAGATAAGAGCCAACAGTCACGTCTTATCTATTCACAGCTGCTACTGTGTTTGATTACTTTAAACTGTCATCCATGAGTGCTGCTATGGATTTTTACCATAGTATTTGCATTCACAGTCACATATGACACACTTAACTGAAATTCATGCAGCCCACGACAGCAGCCCTCCAATAAATTCCACCTTCATGAAAGTTAAAATGTTCAGTTTTTGTTGAAACTCTTTTAGAGAGGTGTTGATTCAATTCTATAGTAATTTTAAAGGATGTAGTTTGTGGTGCTGTTGAAGTGTATTTCATTATACAGAGTTGTTTCTTGTTTATCAACCCACCCACACCGATATAAATGTAGTTGATGCAATAAGAGAACCACCCGTCTGTATAATTCAGTAAAGTTCAACATCACCAAAAGCTGAAACTTTAATTCATGAACTGCTTCAGCCATCAAAAATATAATTCAGTGTTTTTACTGTCCAAATTGCGAGTGGGCTCAAACTAGAGTAAAACCACGCTGATGCGGCACAGTAGCAAAAGTTGAACTTGACCTTGTTGCTTCAAGGCCACAGTGTTAAAGGAATACTTCACCTACAAAAGGACTCTTTTGTATATCAGTTGCTCACCTATTACCTTAAATTCATGAAAAAAGCTTTTTTTCCTGCTTGCCTCCACAGTGAATGAAGAATCCACAAAAAGGCGAACACTCTTCATAAATTAAACGGGAATGCATTTGACAGCAGCAAACCTATATCCAAACATTTGATTACAAACTCTCACACAACTTGTGCATTATAATCCAAGTCTCATTTATTCAGTCTTATGCTCATTACTTGCCAAACACATGCATCTTCTTAAAAGCATCAAGATTTAAAGCATGTCAGTACAAACAGTTTTATGGAACGGCTTGGTAGTGTGCTTGGACACGCACATGCATTTGAACTCTGGTCAATCGGAGCTCATACGTTCAAGTGCTTGGGCACACTCAGGGCGCGCTACTCAAAAGAGGAAGTGTTATATATTGTAACTTTTTAGTGAAAATGCACATGTTTAAGATGTACTGAGCATACAACTGGATCAATGAGACTTAGATTATACTGCACAAGTTGTGTGAGAGTTTGTAAAAGGACATTGTGAAATAGAAAACTTTGATTTTGTCACATAACTCCATGGTGAACAAAGAATCCAAAAAAGGCGAACATTCCTCATGAATTGAAGTCATTGGGATCCATGTTTAACCACAGCAAAACTATATCAAAGGGTGCATCTGTTTGGCAAATACTGAGCACAAGACTGGATAAATGAGACTTGTTGTGTGAGACTTTATAAACGGATGTTTTGGTATAAATTTGCTGTTGTAAAACATGTTACTATAATTCATCTGGAATGTTTGCCTATTTTGAATCAGTCATTCTCCGTGGAGGCCTTTGAGGAAAAGAAAGTTTTCTTTATGAGTTTAAGGTAATTGACAAATTGATGTGGAGTACATATTTCCACCAGCAGCAGGAGGCAGACTTCCTTGCATGCCATGCTGACAAGTTCTTGATGTGCACTTGCCATGACTTGACAATTGCTGCATCCACAACTGGATCCTGTAATGATATCACAGACTCCGCAGGCATCTGCCGCAGAACTTCTTCTGCAGATCTTTCACCACATCCTTGCTCACTGTCTTGGTGAACTTTGTGGCCTGGCAGAAGTCGTCAGTGATAGTGAGTCCCTCCATTGTCTGGTTGAGGGTGACACTTGGTCATCACTCTCATCATCAGCAGGGAAGCAGACAACCTAAGGTGGTTCAAGACATGCAGTGTAGATGTGTTTAATAGCTTTAACATTAATCTGCTCAAGTGTGTTCTTTTTTTCAAATATTTTAACTATATCTGGCCTAATGCCTAATGTCTTGTGTTCTCAGCTTTTTTTGCTGCAAGCTGAAATTGAATTGCACCAACACATTATCTTTAGATGCATTAAGAGGAAACTCTGAGAGTGGAAAGTGATTGGAATAGCAAGTACTGACAAGGAGAGTCCAAAAACGCCTGCTGGCTGTGGAGAATTTAACAAAACTTAGAGTACAGGCCAGTTATCAAGGACTGGCCAGCATTTGTTTGGTGTTGGTTGCTATGGAAAATAGCTGCCAGTGGTGAGACTGTAAAACTAATTCTTTAACATGGGACACTCTATCCTCACCCTTGACCCTCTGCTCAATCCTATTAGGTATGTGATCCCTTTTCAACATCTCAGGGCTGTTTCATATTACTTATAGGGATACCCTGAGGAGCAAACATGGTCGTGTGCAGAGTGAAGAGAATTTGGACTGAGGAAAGACATGACAGCAGTGGGTTAAGATAGTGAAAGATCTGTGGCGAGCTGTCATGACCCTAACGGACAGGTGTTGGCACATTTACGCCAACAACAAGTCAGGGTCAGAGCACCTTTTAAGATTGAATGATCTGGTATGTCTGTGATGATGTTTTCAAGCAGAGAGGAAAAAAAGTCATGCCCATATCTCATATCAATGACCATTCCACGAAAGGAAAAGAATTTCAGACTTGATCAGAAGCTAATTCAAGTCAGGATGTACTATATCATCAACTCCTGGTGCTAATTAAAAGCTGTTATTTTAAAACACCATCATGTGTCCAGGCTGTCTTTGTGTTAAGGCACAAACAAGTAAACAGAAAGAAGTCTGTGATCAGCACTATGTCATTGAATGTCCATTTCCTGTGTTTATCCTCTCATGAGGAGGACCCATCCTCCTCTAGTTAATAAGCCTTGTTTATGCACAGTGACTCATACTCTATTTCTGTCTCCTCCTGGTCTCAACCTGCCTTCTGCTATTCCAGTGACCATCTGAAAGCCAACCTCAGCTTTTGTAGCTGCCACCATGTGTTTACTGCTCATCGGTTACACATGGTGTGGCTTTGATCTCCAAACCAGCGGGAGCAAGAAAAAATAAGAATCAAAGGAAACATGTTTTTTTGTTGTTTCAAAGTGGAAAGCACCGCAGATGGAGATTAAAATTCCCTTTTTCTTCCTTTTTTTGTGTGTCCGCCATCTGCACCAATTTTGGAGGTTTCAGAATTCTCTCGCACAAGCTGAAAAACATTGCAGCATTTTCAAAATATTCTGGCACCACTCTTTTCTTCTCTCCTCTGCAGACTCCGATGAACCAGGCATCCACACGTTCCCACTGCATTTTCACTGTGTACTTGTGCAGGCGTGAGCCGGGCTCAGCCACTGTGCGGCGCTCCAAGCTCCACCTGGTGGACTTGGCCGGATCAGATCGAGTTAGCAAGACTGGCCTGAATGGGCAGCTGCTTACTGAGGCCAAGTACATCAACCTCTCCCTCCACTACTTGGAGCAGGTAGCCACTGTTGATACATATTTACTTATTACTTCTGCCAAAAAGGTTATGTTTTTGTTCTGTTTGTTTTTGTGTCTGTTAGTAGGATTACGGAAAAACTACCAGCCCAATTTTAATGAATGTAGTGCTGTGGACTTTGTCATTAATTTTTGCGGATTTCATGCCCCTGCTCTCCAAACATAATGTTTGTATGTTACGATTGGACAAACAACATTTCAGGCTGTAGCCAATCCCAGCACAGTAGTGTAGAGACTTGTCTCTTCCCTTATTTGCATAATGAAAAAGAAAATGTGTTAAGACAATAATACAGAATACATAAGACTGGGGAAATATTTTTTTTAGGGGGGAGATAAAGAGAAAAAAATAAATAAATACATTTAAAGTAAATAAATACATGGAAAAATAAATAAATACATAAAAAATTTATAAAAAAATAAATGAAAGGAAAAACTAAATGAAGTAGATAAAGTAAATAAAGATGCAAATTTAAACAGGTATGTCAATTTATGGCTTTTATCACTTAATTAATGCCTACATTTATTTTTTATATTATTTTTTTACATTTAAAAGCATTTTTTTTTTTTTTTTGTATGTCATTTAGCCATTTATCTATTCATTTATGATTTTGGCAGCTTCTGTTCTCCATAAAAAGCCGGTGGAGGATGGTAAAGTTCAGTAGAGACAAAACACAGCCAGTTGTGTTATAACGCAATCCACATTCATGAGTACCAGTAATCCTCTGGGGCAGCCTACACATTTAGTTGCTCAAACTTCAGACAGAAAGCAGTTGTTATCATTTGACATAATTCTAGTAGTTTTGAAAATATATTCTGACATATAGTGGTTGCAGAAATTTGCACATCATAAAAGACTGGAATGGGGCGGCATGGTGGTGTGGTGGTTAGCACTGTCGCATCACAGCAAGAGGGTTGCCGGTTCGATCCCGGGTGTGGGAGCCCTTCTGTGCGGAGTTTGCATGTTCTCCCCGTGTCAGCGTGGGTTCTCTCCGGGCACTCCGGATTCCTCCCACAGTCCAAAGACATGCAGATTGGGGACTAGGTTAATTGATAACTCTAAATTGTCCGTAGGTGTGAATGTGAGTGTGAATGGTTGTCTGTCTCTATGTGTCAGCCCTGCGATAGTCTGGCGACCTGTCCAGGGTGTACCCTGCCTCTCGTCCAATGTCAGCTGGGATAGGTTCCAGCCCTCAAGAGGATGAATGAATGAATGAATGAATGAAAAGACTGGACTGTTGGCTTTGGCAGAGGTCTGCACTCTCCACTTGCCCTTCCCAGTTTAAAATAATATATTGGACAAATTGTTTAATATTCAAAATATATTTGGTGCTGTTTATTAAATACACTTTGGCACAGAATACATTTTATTTGCTTCATTTACCGTGTGTGATTTGGCACAGCAAGTTTAATGCTTTCAACTATGAGAAACAAAAATAGTGTGTTTTGCTGATTCAGGCTACTTTATTTGTTCAGTCTACAATAACTTTCATTAATTTCATGTCAGACACTTGACATTGATTAATGGCCATCCTGTATAAACAGTTATGACCCACAAAGTTAGAATGAGTAATGAAATTTCCTTTCAGGCATCATGTTACAATCAGGCATTTAATTTCCTACCTTCATCTCTGTCTTGCATGTCGGCCCTGTTCTCTTCAGGTGATCATAGCTTTGTCAGAGAAGAACCGCTCCCATATTCCCTACAGGAACTCCATGTTGACGTCTGTGCTGAGGGACAGCCTTGGGGGCAACTGCATGACGACCATGATTGCCACTATGGCAGTGGACAAGAGGAACCTTGATGTAAGGATGATGTGCCCATTGTAAGGCCATGTTCAGATAGAATAATCTGTGATATGCCAAAAAAAGAGGAGAAAGAAGGTTCTTGAGTAAATAATGTTAGAGCTACTCTACAAATCAAGTTAGCTTTGTCGATAGTGACTTGAAGTTTCTCTCCTGAAACATCCTCTTGGTGCTCTGGGTATTTAAACATTTTCAGACATTAAATACTTGGCATGTCATACAGTGTATCATGCTTCACAAAGACTGATAAAAAGCTGTGCTCTGTAAAGAATGTATAGATTATGAACATTTTATCATCTCTGTTGAGTCCTTGCATGCATGTGTCAAGTGAGTATTAAATGAAAGACTAACTGTTTTTTTTAGGAGTCCATCTCTACATGTCGCTTCGCTCAGCGCGTGGCTCTCATCAAGAACGAGGCAATATTGAATGAAGAACTGGATCCTGCCCTGGTGAGACAGCCAGACACTCGCTGCACTTCTCCACTCACTACAAATACCATAGCTTCACCACACAATCACACCACAGAAGCATGACTTAATGTGCTGTTTCATTATGGCCAGACCCTCCTCATAGCTTCCAGACCTTAAATTGATCGGTGAATGCAGTGAGAATCCAGCTCCTAAATGTAACTAAATGTTAACCCACCATGTGCTTAAATGCCCTCTTTGGGTTTCCAGCACCAAATTAGTTTTTCCAACGTCACACAGACATCCTCGAAGAAGCAGTTTTCCACCTTCAACACGTGGACGCCTGTCCATCTTGTGTTATTTAGACTGCTCACAGGTCCTGTTTGCATTCTCTCCCTGTATTGTTTACATGCCTCAAATTCTGTTATGGCATATTTTATCCCAGTACCTTACAGCCACTTGAGAAAGCATCCAGCTGGAGACTGGTGTGTGTATATATGTCTCTACACACATCCATGCAAGGAAGCATGCGTTCCTGCCCAGATGTTCAAGATCTGAGGCCATAGTGTAACATTTTTAAAATGAGAGTGGGCAGTCTGTTTACTTTGAGTAATTTTATTTAGTATCTTTATACTATGAATACGTTTTTATTTTAGTAAGACAGAGAAGAAGCCAAAGTAGGAGATGGAGAGCAGAGAAAGTCCTTGGATTGTGGCAACACATGTGGTTACAGAGGCCACTCAACATTTTTTCAGATAGGCCTTACACATACTTCCATAGCTGCCTTTTGAGAAATAGCAAATCTCATGATAGATTGGCTGAGCAGTTTGGCAGGTTAACTCTTGATGATGGTTTCCTTCCTTGACTTTCTCCTTTCACAATACTTGTCACAGCTTCCTTAGTGTGCCAGGAAGCAGACCTGGTAGTTGTTGTAAAGGTCCCACGGGGGATATACAGTAGTAAGTCATCATCACAGCTATATCCGCTTCCTCCCCTCCCACCCAGATCTGCCTGAGGATCAACTGCTACTGTATTACTGCTAGTGAGGACTTGGCTGGCCACTTGCAAACCCTACAGAGGTATTTTTAAGAGAGTCTGCGGCCGGCCCAGTAATTGTGACAGTGTCTGGCAGCTCCCAATTGGGTCCGGCACAGTTACAGCTCCAGGCAAACCCAAACTCCGCGGGCAAACTTCTTGTCTCCGTTTATGGCTCTTTAGTGTGTTTCACATTTCGTTCATTGCTCCCGTCTCTCTGTCTCTCCCTCTATCTCTCTCCCTGGTTTACTGAGGAAAAACTTAAAGCCTGCCGTGCAGTTTGCAGATTAGAATGATGTCATTTATTGCGGTTTGGGGTGACACTCAGATTCCCATTTTTGGCCTGCCACCGTCTGAAGGCACACTGTCTATTCTATTGGACATGCCGGCTGTGGTAATTGATTTGAAACCTGGAGTTTGCTTCTCGCAATCTTGCAGTCAGTGTTTGGGGTATCATTCTGACCACACACTGCCGTAATGGTCCTATACTGTAGCCTGCAGGTTACAAAATGCACTTCTTCAAAGCCTGAACAGCAGGAAACAGCCAGATCAGACAAAACATTTAACATGTCGTTCATGGACAGGGGGAAAAAAATGAGGTGTTGAAAGTGACCTGTGAATATAATGAAGTCAGCCACAGTGGCCACACCATATAAGGTTGGCTCTGTTGGTCTCTTTAAGAGCACTAAGGTCAGTCTTAATCCTCCATTTAAATCAGGCTGATCCTGGTCTACAGTCAGATTAAATTGTCAACGGTTATTGGATCTTTCATGATGCTCCTACCATCTCTTTTAAATTTCACGTGTGTACTTAAGGAAGCATTTTGTGTGCAGGGGTGCTTAGTATGTGCTGAACTGAATTGCCATCAAACTTATTTATGTAATACTGAAAGGCTTAAAAAGTTTTATCAAAACGGTCCCGGATTATGCTCATTTACGGGTTCATACTCGTATTTTAGATTTCTACCAGAACACTGGTTCTCAATTGGTGGGTCGTGGTCCAAAAGTGGGTCACGGGTCAATTTTGAATGGACTGCAAGTGACTCTGAAACGTGTCACGTTTGTAGAAAACACTTTATTTTTAAGTTCAGTGAATTTCTGGCTCAGAGCTTTTGTTGTGAAGTGTTGTTTCCTGCTGAAGAGGGAGTGACTAACGGACAGTTACTTAACAGAGACAGCAAACTAGCTCGACAACATGGCCAAACATAAGTATGATGCTGAATGTATTAAACTTTGTGGACCTTGAACTAAAGACTAAGGAGAAATCTGGACCCTGGGGCTGGACCGATTTGGAACCACTGTACTAGAACATGTTTACATGATTTTTCTCAGACTGTCTGCCTGAATATACCTAATGTCACCCTCTTTTTGAAACGCTTCATTTTAGTGCCATTCTTTTTCTCTTGAGGCACCCCTTCCAAGATAGCCCAGTCTGCTCTTATAGGTCAGTGTTTCTGGGTCTTCTGCATCTGCAGTCAGTTTCTCTGCACCATCATTGCAACCAGAGAATGACGGCACTGTAGCAGCACTTCCTACCTTTATAAACCATTTCATTGTTATTGTGTTGCTTGGGCAAAAGCTTTGGTCCCTGATTACTTCCTGTCATCTACTGCATTAACTAGCATTCCAACAGGAAATAGCTTGTTTGCAATTCAGTGACTATTATGACTCATGAAATTCAGATGGAATGGCAAGAAGTGATATATCCATATGCTGCATGAATTGGAAGTAGAGGAATGTGACTACATAAAAGGGTTGGATGAACCTGAAGGCAGCAGGTATCAGAAAATTGATGCTCATGTTGGATGTGATCCATATAATACTAAGAAAAGTGATTTTTTTTTTCACAACTTGACAGATTTGCCGGGGTGGACACAATCGTTGTTACAAATTACCTCCTTTTCCAGACTCCCTAACATTACTAACATTACATGGCGAACCAATAAATGCATACAAGAGTGTAGTGGACTAAAACTGTTTTGTGTGACAAACTGAATGATTAATGACTGAAACAACTGCCGTCTTGTTTTTGGCCGATTGAGTAAATTTACTTGAGAATAACTGTCTTTTATATTTCAATTCTGTACAAGGACGCACCACTTTTAGGCTAACATCAGCTAACGTTAGCTAGCTTTGGTTACAATTCTGGTGAAATGCCATTAAAAATCTGGGTTGTGCCTAAAAATTTACCTTTAACATTAACATTTGATGTTACTCGACTCTGCTACTCCGGACTGAAGATAGAGGTTTTCGATCAACATCTGCTGCCGTTTCTCAGTGAGTTTTTATTCTGTTTCGTTTTGTTTTTTGACCCCTTCATGTCCTACTATTTTCAGGACATAAGGTGGCCGTTGTTTTTTACCAGTTTGATCATTTTAACAATAAACAGCACAAATCATAGACATTTGTGCAGTGTTATTTTGTTTTGTTGTTTTTACCTCCAGTTGCCTGCCCTCCATCTGGATAGTGCACCAATATACCAATATACAGTACAGGCCAAAAGTTTGGACACACCTTCTCATTCAATGCGTTTTCTTTATTTTCATGACTATTTACATTGTAGATTCTCACTGAAGGCATCAAAACTATGAATGAACACATGTGGAGTTATGTACTTAACAAAAAAAGGTGAAATAACTGAAAACATGTTTTATATTCTAGTTTCTTCAAAATAGCCACCCTTTGCTCTGATTACTGCTTTGCACACTCTTGGCATTCTCTCCATGAGCTTCAAGAGGTAGTCACCTGAAATGGTTTTCCAACAGTCTTGAAGGAGTTCCCAGAGGTGTTTAGCACTTGTTGGCCCCTTTGCCTTCACTCTGCGGACCAGCTCACCCCAAACCATCTCGATTGGGTTCAGGTCCGGTGACTGTGGAGGCCAGGTCATCTGCCGCAGCACTCCATCACTCTCCTTCTTGGTCAAATAGCCCTTACACAGCCTGGAGGTGTGTTTGGGGTCATTGTCCTGTTGAAAAATAAATGATCGTCCAACTAAACGCAAACCGGATGGGATGGCATGTCGCTGCAGGATGCTGTGGTAGCCATGCTGGTTCAGTGTGCCTTCAATTTTGAATAAATCCCCAACAGTGTCACCAGCAAAACACCCCCACACCATCACACCTCCTCCTCCATGCTTCACAGTGGGAACCAGGCATGTGGAATCCATCCGTTCACCTTTTCTGCGTCTCACAAAGACACGGCGGTTGGAACCAAAGATCTCAAATTTGGACTCATCAGACCAAAGCACAGATTTCCACTGGTCTAATGTCCATTCCTTGTGTTTCTTGGCCCAAACAAATCTCTTCTGCTTGTTGCCTCTCCTTAGCAGTGGTTTCCTAGCAGCTATTTGACCATGAAGGCCTGATTGGCGCAGTCTCCTCTTAACAGTTGTTCTAGAGATGGGTCTGCTGCTAGAACTCTGTGTGGCATTCATCTGGTCTCTGATCTGAGCTGCTGTTAACTTGCCATTTCTGAGGCTGGTGACTCGGATGAACTTATCCTCAGAAGCAGAGGTGACTCTTGGTCTTCCTTTCCTGGGTCGGTCCTCATGTGTGCCAGTTTGGTTGTAGCGCTTGATGGTTTTTGCGACTCCACTTGGGGACACATTTAAAGTTTTTGCAATTTTCCGGACTGACTGACCTTCATTTCTTAAAGTAATGATGGCCACTTGTTTTTCTTTAGTTAGCTGATTGGTTCTTGCCATAATATGAATTTTAACAGTTGTCCAATAGGGCTGTCGGCTGTGTATTAACCTGACAAGAGTGTGCAAAGCAGTAATCAGAGCAAAGGGTGGCTATTTTGAAGAAACTAGAATATAAAACATGTTTTCAGTTATTTCACCTTTTTTTGTTAAGTACATAACTCCACATGTGTTCATTCATAGTTTTGATGCCTTCAGTGAGAATCTACAATGTAAATAGTCATGAAAATAAAGAAAACGCATTGAATGAGAAGGTGTGTCCAAACTTTTGGCCTGTACTGTACCTGTGACATCATAACGTCACAGAA